TCTCTTTGGATTTGAGACTTTAGTCTTTGCAACTTTACAGATCTTCTTTATGCACCAAGAGCTTGTAACACTTCAAAGAGAAAGGAAAAATTGAAAACGCATCATATGACCCCTTTAAATTGTAATAATATGTCTCCAGATCATTTCGCTATCAGATAATGTTAAGTTCTCTTCTCGGCTGCGCTTATTTGTTGTCGTGAATGCAGTGATGGACAGCTGTCTTTCCTTGGTCCACCGGGTGTTTGGATTTCATGTGTTTTTGCATTGTGGTGGTGATATTATGATAACTCAGTTTCACTGATTAATTTGATCAAAAGTAATTCCATTTTGTAAGATCATTTAGTAAGATCATTTTGATCAAAGACAAAGTAATTCCAAACTTCGCGAGGCAGACGACGACATTCTGTGATCAATTACAACCAACTTGTTAACACTCCACAGCGCCACCCAGTGCATTTAGTTATAACTGACTTTTAGTTTGCGTGCTTAGGATTTATCATGGATGCCCTGCATCTACGGCCAGCAAAGAAATGTGTAGTAAAATTCGAATAGTGTTATTATTTTTCAAATAATAATTACAGATCGAATATTCGACTGTTTGTGCGCACCCCTAATTTAAATGTTAAATTTCTAAGATCTAGCATATGCTAACAAGTATTAAAAAGAAGGTATGTGATATGCATGTCTGTTTTGAAAACACAAAGGTCACCCATATTTTAAAATATTTCATTATTTGTAGCATGTTTTTTTTTCTAGCCTTTTCCCTCACTTCTCTTTAGGAATGGGAAGTCCTACCAGAGTTCATCTCCCAGCACTAAGGCTGTTCTCTCCTCACCCACTGGCAGTTCTGTGCCGCACGGGGCTTTGGGAACTATCCCAATAGTATATGATGAAGCTTGGACGGGTGCGAAACATCGTGGTGGTTGCTGGAGCAGGTATCAGCACGGCCAGCGGTATACCAGACTTCAGGTGGATACTCAAATCCTTCAAAACTACTTCTGAATCATTGTTTCACTCGACTAACAAGTGTCTTTGTATCAGGACACCAGGGACGGGTCTTTATGCAAACCTTGCGAAGTATGACATCCCTTACCCAGTGGCTATCTTAAACATCAACTATTTCTCTGACAACCCTCATCCTTTCTTCTCATTGGCTAAAGAGCTGTACCCTGGACACCACCGTCCAAACTACGTTCACTATTTCATCCGTATGCTGCATCAGAAGGGCCTGCTGCTCCGCATGTACACTCAGAACATCGATGGACTCGAAAAACGTGAGATTAAAATTCAGAACCCTACTACATCATAAGTAAAGGTGAATTTTGCAGTCTTCTATTTTAAATTGTGCCTTACCCTATCTGTAGTGTGCGGTATCCCAGATGACAAACTTGTGGAGGCTCATGGGAGTTTCGCTACTGCTGCCTGCCACCTCTGCTATACGCCTTATCCTGCTGAGGAAGCCAAGGTAATATAAATTAGTTTGAGTGATCCAAATTACAAAATTTAATTCATACAATTTAGTGTATAATACATAATTTTTCTTTCTTTTTTCCTGTCAGCAAGCTATAATGAATGGCAACGTTCCCATCTGTACATTTTGTGCCGGGGCAGTAAAACCTAATGTCGTCGTCTTTGGAGAAGATCTACCAGAAAAGTACTTTCAACATGCTGAAGATTTCCCAAAAGCTGACCTTCTCATGATCATGGGCACATCTTTAAAGGTGGATATAATAATAATAATAATAATAATAATAACTGATTCTATAAGATATTTAAATATATTTTATATGTAAGCATATTTGACAGTTTTGCTGTGTGACTTATACTCCCATCTAAAATTATTTTAAACCACATTTTGGTAAAATTAATTTACTTCATTTATTTATACATGCAGCTTTCATGAGTGCTTTAATTTTATATAAATATTAATATTATTACTTGCTCCATGGCTAGAGTGAAGTATTTGTACTTGTAAAAATGTATCACACAATAGAACTAAATTAACTGTTTATTCATATTATCTAAAAGTTTGGACTTTTTTTTTTTTCTTAAATATAATTATTATTTTTTTTTTATATGATCATTTTTAAATATAATTTCAGTAAATGCAAAGCTGAATTTTCAGCAGCCATGTCTTCAGTGTCACATGATCCTTCAAAAATTATTCTAATATGCTGATTTGCTTCTCAAGACACATTTCTTATTATAAATGTTAAAAATGGTTGTGTTGCTTCATATTTTTGTGGAAACTGTGATGCATTTTTCAGGATTCGTTAATGAATATAAAGTAGTGCTGTCAAACGATTAATCGCGATTAATCGAATCCAAAATAAAAGTTTTTGTTTACATAATATATGTGTGTGTGCTGTGTATATTTATTATGTATATATAAATACAAACACATGCATGTATATATTTAAGAAAAATTGTATGTTTATAATATATATATAAAAAACTGTATATGCATAAATATTTCCAAAATATATGCTGTATGTGAGTGTATGTATATATACATAATAAATATACACAGTACACACATATATTATGCAAACAAAAACTTTCATTTTGGATGCGATTAATCGCGATTTATTTTAAATAAAGACTTTGTTACAAAAGATTTCTATGGTCACTTTTAGTCAATTTAATGCATCATTGCATTATTTCTGTATGATATAGTTAAATATAATATATTTATCTTACAGCTATCAAGGGAAATCTCTCACGTCATGCTTAATCCTGAAAGTTTTCTTGCTTTGTGGCAGATCGAGCCCTTCGCCAGCCTGGTAAACACAGTGAAGTCCACAGTGCCTCATCTGCTGCTGAACCGATCCAGTCGGTCCCTTTGAATGGAGGCCCTTGAGGAGGGGCGACTATATAGAGCTGGGAGATCTCTCAGATTCAGTCCGAAAACTTGCTGAGATCCTGGGGTGGCATACTGAGATCCAAGACCTGATGAACAGCCATGAAAATGGGCTTTGTTCTTTTATTGACCCCAGCAATAGCACCGGTGAGAAAAGTTACTCCTCTGAGACCGACAGCATGCACAAGTGTCCACCACAGACATGCTCTGTATGTTTAAATTTTCACTGGGTATGGCAGTGGAGACCTGGCAAGGGTTCCGAACCCACAGTGATGTTTGTATATCATATATCATTCATCTGAATGTTTTATGTATGTCAGTGATCTTACTAGTAACAGCCAGTTTGACTGTATCTGGGCAGTCTTTCCTGACCAGATAAACAGCCATGTTTGATCAGACAGTGAAACTTGGCCATGTTTCTGGTGGGTTTAGACTCATCATTTTAAATCCAACAAAACCTATATGAGTACTGTCTGCTGCACATTTTGACTGAAAACCTACATCTGGATATCTTAAATTCTGGCTCTTATACTCTCTACAGAAAGGTCATAATGAATAAGCAGTGTAATTACGTCACATCTGCACATCCTGATTCAAAGATATGGACCTGTTTATTATGCCAAAATGTCTACTTTTGGCAGATAAATTCCTGCAGTTTTACATTTTTATCAGGACCTGTTACTGCAGGGAAAAGAAACTAGAGACATGGCACTTACTTTTTTTATTTTTATTAATTTCGGACCGCTACTTATCTCTGGACAAGATAAAATGTGTTATATTAAGGCTCCTTTTCCATTCTACAAACTGTATTCAAGGTTTTAATCTTTGTTTGGAAAGGTTGGTAGTATATATGGAGTCAATGTATAAGACTGGATTGGGAATAATGTACGTTTGTATATAAATGTGTATGTCTATATATTTGTTTGCTAGTTGTAGGTCATTTGGTAGCCAGTGAGTCATGGTTTGGCCCCAGTGAGTGAACAGTGCTAAATTAGCATGGAAGGCGTGACCTCCCAAGTGTGCAGTGCCCCCACTGTGTGTTTTCACAGGCACTGCAGCCTCCAAGCGGGAGCTCCAACCCCCCAAAACTCTAATAAATGTCTTTGGTCAGCAACAAAGAACCCTAATATCCTGCTGTTGTGTGTGTGTGTGTGTGTGTGAGGTTCTGCGTATGAGAATGGCTGTGAACGTAATTTGATTTTGCACAGGATCAGTGAAGTAGCTGGTAATTACCACACTGCTGTGATCATATCTGTTCATGTCCCTCAGGGATTTTGGCACATTTTGAGAAATATGGACAAAAAGCCAGAATGCCTATTAAATGTTTCAGTCCATCTCATTTCTTTTATTCATACATGCAGTGTGCCATGTTTGTGTTGGTCAGAGTTTGGTTGAAACATGTTTACCAGCTGTCTTTTAAATCAGTTTTTCTGATTCATGGAACGTTTGCGAATATGATTCTCATTAGTTAAAGTTTGCATTTGTTGTACTTCTGAATATTAAAATGCTGCTTTTGTTTATGTACTTATGCAAGTTTTTTTATATATATATATATATTGAATCCTGTTAATAAAAATGGCATCTTATGGTGTTTATTAAATAAATTCATATCTGTCTCTGTTTTTTGTTTGTGCTTTTGTTTTTGATGTTTACACCACATCTGTTCAATTAGGGAATATTTAATTTTCCACGTTTGAATTTTAAACAAAATTCAATATTTTATACAACTAGTATTGATCATCTAATATATATTTTTGTTCTTTTTTCTTTCCTGCTCTACTGGTCATGTTTGTGATATCTTGCAGTATTATAGCCAACATTAGTTGTGTGATTATTTATTTGTCTAGATTTTTATATTCAAGGACAGTATTACAAAAAAAAAAAAAAAGTGAGATGTTTCTGCATGCAATAAGCAAATGAGACTAAGGTTTTTAGTTTTATTGCAAATGATTGTCTGAAACAAAAATCAAAGAACCTAAATGCAAAAATTGAAGCAAAAATAAAATTTTGTGAAACGTTTTACAAAGCCCCTTTATTCTGCTGATCCTAGTGGTTATAGAAGCTGAGTACTGGGCCTTGTGAAAGATATTCACAAGCTTTTAAATCAAGGATAGTAACCAGAAATATTTAGAAAATAAAAGAGTTTATTACATGCTGTGTCTTATGTAGAAAACCTAACATTTCTTATAAAAAGAAAACAAATACACCAATAACATTGAAAGGAAAAAAAGTGGGGAAAAAAATCAATATATAGACAATTGTGTAGCTAAAAATAATATAGAGCATTAGAAAAGACACTAGTTTGAGACTCCAGGCATAAGTGGTGGGAAAAAAGATTTTGATGCATATTTTGCAAAAACAATTAAGTGCAAGACAAATAATTTCTTAACAACTGATCTCATGGCATTTACCATTTCAAAAGACATTTAAGTGTTTTGAAAAAATTGTGGAACAGGTTTCTTTAATCTGTGAACCAGCAACAGCCACAGACGGTTAAATAAATACAAACCTAGATGAACAGCTTTTCTTAAGGGTAAATGTCATTAAGCCTTTATACTTCATTATTGAAGACCAAGTGCATTTGCTTGTTCACAGAGTGTCAAAGACACGTGAAAAAGTTGTGTAACCTCCTACTTACCAGTGCCATCTTATACAGTCACTGTGATCATATTTGATGTCCGATGACAACCGTATATCTATTTAAACATTTGCTTCCTCTCTCTCTGCTCACTCTATAGTTCACCACACATGTCCCAATTAGAAAGACATGCCCTCGTGCAACAAAACAACCTCAGTAGGAAATAACTGAACTATCCCCTGTGCAGGGGACAGTTGGTAAGACAGTGGCAGTCAGCCAGCAGCAGCAGCGGTGCCTAAAGGGTTTGAGTGAACTAAACTCCTGCTAGTCTGAGTCAGAGTCACTGCTGGGTGGAGGGCTGCACTCATGGATAGCTTCTCCTAGGGGCGCTAGAGTGCCATCCTTCCTCACTCCCATTGGTCTGATCAGTTCTTTCCTGTAGAGAGAGAAGAACACAGCTCAGTACTTTTGCATGTTGTGTCCTACTGCTGCTTTGCATGTTCACAATGTCACATGCAAATAATCGGATAGGGAGATATGACCAGCCTCAGTAGAAACTTCTATTTCTTCTAGATTTATTTGTACACATAAAAGGAAATAACTATCTATTTGTGTGTATCTGTATGCATGTTTGTAACATAATATATAACTACATATAAGATTATATAATATTTTTATAACAAAAATATAAACATTTTAAAAGCTTTGGGAAGTAAGACCCCCCCCCCCAAATATGTCAGTAAAAATTCAATTAAAAAACATTTTTTTCCCTTTCTTTTCATTGAAGAATCCTGAAAAAATGATCATTGTTTCCTAAAAAATATGATGCAACACAACTGGTTTCAACACTGATAAAGGATCATGTGACACTGAAGACTGGAGAAATGATTTCTGATAATTCAACAGGAATAAACAAATATATTCAAACATAAATGGTTCTTTAAAAAATAAAATAAAAACAAAGTTTGAAGGTATATTAATAGCAAAAGTGGTATTAATCATGAAAGTAGTAAAATAAGCACAAACTCCAGAATCCAGTGACCATCATTTCCTCTACAAGATTTATTGTGCTCACGTCTTGTCGATTTGGTTTTTCGGGCCACTAATTTATCACCACAATCCACCTGCTCTTTGAAAGAATCCCTTTGTACTGATCATTGTAGCTGCATTCAGTTCTGTCCTCTAAAGAGGTCTGTTGATGTGTAGAACATCTTTCTTTGCCTTTACATCTGGCCACATAAGAGCTCTTGGAATCACA